GCTGACATGCCAGGAATTGTCCTAGTTTCTACCTCCCGAGTTTGGTTTTCTTCTTTCTTAAAATAGACGCTGCTACAGCAGAAGCTTTGTCAGGGAATAAAGCGATTCCCTGCCTTGAAATTATTTCCCTGGGCACCCCTCCGTGTTGGGGGGCTGCCCTGCTCCCTGCAGACCGCCACGAATGGGGACAGCAGCACCGAGCTGTTGGGTGCCACAGCCCATGGGTGTTTCCAGGGCTCATCACTGGGAATTGCCCCCAGGGAGGCTTGGAAGCAAAATGGGGTTGAGGCAGAGGCTGGGGGGAGAGCAGGCAGACCCTCCAGACCTCCCCGTGCAGGCAGAAGTGGAGCTGGAGGGAGAGGGGGATATTTTTCAGGCTGTTTGCCCCCCAAGGTTTCTGCAATGTTTCTGGAAATTTTGCCAACAGTAAAAAAAAAAATAAATAAAAAAAATGGGAGAGAGAAAGGAAAAACACAACAAGCAATTTTTGGCTCGTGCTGTGCAAACCCAAGTGCTGGCAGAAGATCCCTCCTCAGTTCTTGCCCGATACCAAACCAGCTCAGTGTGCTGGCGCTGGTGCTGGTGCTGTCAGGCTCCAGAGCCCCCACCAAAGGGGGAGCATCTTCCTGGCCACAGCCACACTCCCTCCTCACACAACCCCGTCTCCAGGTGTATCTCGTTGGGGTTAATGTGCCCGTTACCACGTGCCCCACTTTCTCTGTGCTCCAACATCCTCAGGTCCCAGCCCTGGGCCCTGGCAAGCGCAGCAATGAGACACCTGGCCGGGGGTGGGGGCTGGCCCTCCCATCTAATTTTGGCTCCATAAAGAATATCGGGTCAATTCTTCATTTTCGTGGAGCTCTTTATGGAGCTGGGAACAGCCGGGGCAGGGTGAGGCTGGGCATCATGCACTATGGATGGCACAGCACCCCTCAGCCCAGCCACCAGGAACTTGGATATTTTTTTCCCTGTGGTTTCGAAGGGAGATGCACCCCCCTGCCCCCCATGCTCTGCCCACCCCGGGGCCACTGCCCTGTACTGGGGAGAGGCCAGTTAACCTTTGTCTGGAGCTCAGCTGGGCTCCCAGGGAAGGCACCAAGCTCCCAAGTCCTCCGGAGTGCCAGGGTGCTGTATTTATGTACCTGACAGGGGCATGCCTGGCATGTCCTGCAATAAACATTTGCCCTGATTAGCTGGATTAGTGAGGGAGAGCTTTATTTAGGGACCTCAGTCCCACACTGGGATCAGAGTATTCCTGACTCAATTTCTGAAAATACCACCGTTGTGCTTTTTATTTTCTTTCGTGGTAGCCTGGGGCGGGAGGCTGCCAGTCCCCTCTGTCCCAGCCAAAGTAGGGCTTGAGGTTTGGAAGTGTCTGTTTGCAGTAGGTGCATCCTTCGTGTCCTGCCTCTGCCAGGTTCCCCCTGCAGCTGGAGAGCGGTCAGACAGTGGAGTGCACCGTGGCGCAGTACTTTAAGCAGAAATACAACCTGCAGCTGAAATACCCCCACCTGCCCTGTCTCCAGGTGGGCCAGGAGCAGAAGCACACCTACCTGCCCTTGGAGGTGAGTGTTGGCTCGGCACCCCGGCGTTTGGGCACCCTGTGAGGCCAAGGCAAGTGGCCTTTGCTGGTGGATGCGTGACAATATTCTGCAGCTGATGTGTTGTGGCAGTGGTTGCCTCAACGTTGACCTGGCAAGAGCCACTTCTAGTAAGGGAGGGAGGAAACTGTGCTGTAAAAATGCCATTTCCCTGCAGCCGCGGGCTCGGCACCTCCGTTTTGGGGCTGGCACAGTGTCTCGCCTGTCCCTGACACGTGGCTGCTCTCTCTCCCCTGCCCTGCAGGTGTGCAACATCGTGGCAGGCCAGCGGTGCATCAAGAAGCTCACAGACAATCAAACGTCAACCATGATCAAAGCAACAGCCAGGTCTGCCCCAGACAGGCAGGAGGAAATCAGTCGCCTGGTACGTGGCGTGAGTCCCCGGGAGGGATGCTCTTGGGGCTGTGGGCTGTTGGCAGGTTATGGTGTCATGTCTGTGGTGAACCTTGTTGTGGTCCTACTTCTCAGATGCTTTGCGCTGGAGAGCTGGGACCTGCTCAGAAGGTGCTGGTGGGGTTAATGGGTTGGTTTTATCCCCCTGTTCTCATTGGGTCCCCGGTCAGCGATGCCTCTGTGTGTGTAACGGACACCTGCACACAGGAGCCCAGCTCAAAGGGACTGTGGAAACTCGTGTGCAGCAAATTCAGGTCCTTGTGCTGATGGAACCTGACCCAAAGGGAGCTGGAACTAAAAATAGGAAAACAAATTAGAGAAATGACCCTGGCTGTGGGTGTACGTGGGGGCTGTGCGTTGCGGGGCCGTGGTACAGGAACTCTACAGGTCAGCCTGGGGCGAGCTGGGGGAATCCAGCTCTGCCAGCACCAGCAGGAGCTGGTTAATGGTGCTCTCTTATCCAAAACCCACGTCTCTGGGCTTTCGAAGCTTGGGACATTTGATATTCCTTCTGGGAATCTTGATAACAGTCTCTTGCTGGTCTGAACCTTTCCACTGAAGCCTGAAATCTCAGGAGCATGCTCTGCTTTGGTTGTATTGGTTGGTACGTTCCAAAATCAGGTCCCCTATGGGGCAGTTTGAAGAACAGGTTTGTGTTAAAGCACTTTCCTTCCCTTTACGGAGGGGACTCCAGCTCTGTGGAGAACGTGACTTTAGGTGCCCGTGGTCCCCGACCAGCTGAAGCCCCATGGGCTGCAGCAGTTGGGTCTCACTCCCTCCCATGGCCCTTCCTTCCCTCCGCAGATGAAGAACGCCAGCTACAACCTGGACCCCTACATCCAGGAGTTTGGGATCAAGGTGAAGGACGACATGACGGAGGTGACAGGGAGGGTCCTGCCAGCACCCATCCTGCAGTATGGAGGCCGGGTAAGCAGGACGTGGGGCTGTGCTGGGCAGAGAGATGCTTTCCCACCAGAAAACACTGTTTCTGCACAAAAACTTGTGCTGCCTTCAGGTCTGTAGGTTAGAGCTGGAATTTTTTATCAGAGCACCTTGGGTTTGGGGTTTTTGTTTGTGGGGGCTTTTTGCAGCATAACTGTACTGAAGGTAGAGCCAGGAGTTGTTGGGTGACAAAAAAGGTGAGCTGAAGGGGAGAGAGATGCTGAGGTGAATTGTCCATCACCTTTGAGGGGCTGAGGTTGTGAATTGCCCCTGGCCACACGCTGTGGCAGCCCCTGGCAGCACAGGGAGGTGGCTCCAGCGAGGGTCTAGGGCTTTGCCATGGGGGGTGCCAGCATGGGGCCGGGCAGGACGTGGCAGTGCTGTGACCCTCTGTTTGCCTTTGCAGAACCGGGCCATTGCAACCCCCAACCAGGGCGTGTGGGACATGAGAGGGAAGCAGTTCTACAACGGCATCGAGATCAAAGTCTGGGCGATCGCCTGCTTTGCCCCGCAGAAGCAGTGTCGAGAGGAGGTGCTGAAGTAAGGAAAGGGGCAGCCCCCCGTGGGTGGGATGAGGTGGGGGAGCCCGTGGTGTGGCCACCACCACTGCTCCCAGCCTGGGGCTGCAGGTCCTTCATCCTTAACTGGGTCTGAATTGCTCGTGGTACAGATTTGATCGGGGTTCGGACTGAGTGTTCAGTCTTGTTTCTGTTCATTTATCCTGACTGTTTATGCTGACTGTTTATCCTGGCTCAGACATTCCCCATCCCAAAGCCAGCCAGGTTGGAGTGAGCACATCACGCTCCGACACGTGTGAGCTGACACCCAGGCTCTCCTTGGTCTGCTCTTTGCATCAGGCTGCTGTCGGGATCTGATGCCACAGCCCTAAAGCTGTATTGAACTCTGCTCAGCTGAATCTCCCCAGAGAAATGGGGTTGTGAGGGATATTTAATGAAAAGTTTCCCCAATACCCTATCTAAAATAATGTAATTCATGTAGGAAGCATACAAACTTGCCATGGGTTTTTATTACGGAGAAGTCTTAGGCTTTCTGAAAAGCTTTGGTAGTTTAGAGATTCTCTGCTTCGGTAGCAAAGTGACACAGAGCGGGGACGATTTATTTGATTTAGTGAAATGGTCACCTTGGGGTTGGATGCTGCTGGGGACAGGTTTCTCCTGACCGAGACTGGATGCATCAAGACAAGCAGTTTGTGTGCCTGTTCTGGGTGTGCAGCACGATTAATGTTTGGGAAGGTTTGGAGCCACTCAAAGTCCCTACATCTGCAGTAACTGGGTGGAGGTGGGAGTGACACCGCGCTCCTGCCAAGACCCCTTTGGGGCAGAGCTGGGAGCCCCAACGCTCCCTCCTGCTCTCCCTGCATCAAATTCATGCTTCAAGCCAAAATTCTCGAGTGTGGCTGAGCACTCTGTCTGGTTTGGAGAGTGAGGGCTTCAATCAGTTTTGCAAATCGTCTGGAAATTAGCTGTCCCTGGCAGCAGCTCTGCTCCCCCCTTCCCCCCCTTCCCCACGGGGAGCAGCTCACGGCTCCGTCGCTCCTCGGGCAGAGTCAGTTCCTGGGTAAGAGGGTGCCAAGAGGGGACGGTTCAGCTCTCACACTGAGTTGGTCTTGTGTTTCCCCTGCCGTGTGCTTGCTGGGTGCTGTGAAACCACAGACGTGGAGGTGTGATGTCCCTGTCCTGTGCCGCAGCGCTCCAGCCGTGGGTCCCTTCCTGCTCGGTGGCCGGGGAAGGTGCCGTGCGGGAGGGCTCGGGGCTGATCCTTCTCCTCCCGGGCACAGGAACTTCACGGACCAGCTGCGCAAGATCTCCAAAGACGCGGGGATGCCCATCCAGGGCCAGCCCTGTTTCTGTAAATACGCCCAGGGAGCAGACAGTGTGGAGCCCATGTTTCGACACCTCAAGAACACCTATTCGGGGCTTCAGCTCATCATCGTCATCCTGCCAGGGAAAACCCCGGTGTATGGTGCGTCTGGGGCAGGGGGAGTGGGGAGAGGAGAGGAGAGGGGCTTTGCTCTGGCTCGGCAGGGCTGGCTCTGCTCCTCCCGCAGTGCTTTCTCTCCTTGTTGCTGAGAGTGCTGCTGGAAACTGATCTCCCGTGGGTTCCTCTGCTTCCTCTGCCCACAGCCGAGGTGAAGCGTGTTGGAGACACCCTCCTGGGAATGGCCACCCAGTGCGTCCAGGTCAAGAACGTGGTGAAAACCTCCCCGCAGACCCTTTCCAACCTCTGCCTCAAGATCAACGTCAAGCTTGGCGGGATCAACAACATCCTTGTGCCTCACCAGCGGTCAGTACTTCGGGGCTTGTTTCCCCAGTCTCCGGTGGTGCTGCCTGGCTTTACCTGGGGCAGGGGGGGGGTCTTTTTAAAGTAGCTCTTTGAAAAGTAGATTTGCATCTGTCTGCCTTGTAAGGAGGTGTTGATGTGCCCAGGCCAGAGGTGTCCTCTGTGTGATCTGTCACCTCCTTTGGGCTGGGCATCACCCTGAGATGACCCCTGAAGGCTGATGGCTGCTTTCTCTTCCCCCCCACCAGCTCTGCGGTCTTTCAGCAGCCAGTGATCTTCCTCGGGGCCGATGTCACTCACCCGCCGGCAGGAGATGGGAAGAAACCCTCCATAACTGCTGTAAGTGCCCCAGAGCCCTGCAGGGGTGAGCTGCAACGGGACCCCTGGGTCTGCAAAGGGGCTGTGCCACTACCGTCCTTATAGTGACACTTCTCGGGGTGACCCCCTGCCCTCTTGGGTGTTTCAGTCATAGAGTTGTCCGGGCCAGAAGGGACCTCCAAAGGCCATCTAGTCCGACCTCCCCGCAGTCAGCAGGGACACCCCCAACTAGACCAGGTTGCCCAGGGCCTCGTCGAGCCTCACCTTGAATAGAATCATAGAATCATAGAATGGTCTAGGTTGGAAGAGACCCTTGGGATCATCGAGTCCAACCATCTCCCCTACTCTACAAAGTCCTCCCCTACACCATGTCCCTCAGCACTGCATCTAAACGGCCCTTAAACACAGCCAGGGATGGGGACTCCACCCCCTCCCTGGGCAGCCTGTTCCAATGCCCGACCACTCTTTGGGTGAAAAATTCTTTCCTAATGTTCAATCTAAACCTCCCCTGTTGGAGCTTGAAGCCATTCCTTCTCGTTCTGTCACTAATTACCTGTGAGAAGAGACCAGCACCAACCTCTCTACAGTGTCCTTTCACGTAGTTGTAGAGAGTGATGAGGTCTCCCCTCAGCCTCCTCTTCCTCATACTAAACAGTCCCAACTCCCTATCTCCAGGGATGGGGCCTCAACCACCTCCCTGGGCAACCAGTCCCAGTGCTCCCAGGGTGGTGGGTCCCTCTCGGCGGTGGTTTTGGGGAGCCGCTGGCTGCCAGCAGATGGGGCTCGTGTCGTGCCTGACCCCACCAGGGACGGGGATCAGGGTGTGCAGCAGCTCCCTGTGGGTTCTTGGGAGTCATCCCCAGGGCAGCCCTCGGAGGGACCGTCCCCAGGTGGGAGAGATGGAGAGAACTGGGGTGACGAGGGCTGCTCCAGAGCCCTTTGGGGAGGAGGATTTCCCTTCACCCCAGAGGAATAGTGAGCATCGAGTGAAATGCCGCTCACACACCGGGTGGCAGCTCGGGCCCCTCGTGGGGCTCTGGGACGTGGCCTCCTGCTCAGGGAAGAGAAGGAAAGTGTTGGGTTCTCGTAGCGACTGTTTTAATTAAGCACGTCAGCATTTTCCTATGAAGTTCTTAACTTTCCAGGACTCATAGCTCAGGTTTTCCTTGGCATGCAAACGCCTCTTTGGAGGAGTGTTTTTTTCTTAATTAGAAGGGGTTGGGAAATGCTTTTGGCTGTTTGCTGTAGGTGTGGGTGGGACAGAACAGTCTGTTTCCTGGCGGCAGCACTTCCCCTCTGAAAACATCTTCTGTGTTTTCGCTGTGCGGGACCACTGTGAGAGGGTTTTTTCCTTAATTTTTATGAAAGCTTTATTGAAGCTGCAGGGGAGGAGAAGCGTAGAGGCTTCAGATGGCCTTGATCTTGTCCTTGGTGTGTGTTAATCAGTGGGTAGAAGGGGTCCGTGGCTGAGGCCAAAGGAAACATTTCTGTTGAGCACGTTGGCTCCGGGGGTGCATCCCAGACTCTAGACCTCCCTTTGTGAAGCAAAAGTGAAACAGTTGCTGAGGGCAGGGGTAACAGGCTCGGTGCTGCCGAGGATGTGGGGTCTGTGGTGCTTTCCCTCCGCTCGAGGGGACGTGACCCAGCTGCTCTCAGCCTCCCTGCCCTGACGTCTGTGAGGTGTCCCCTCCGGGACACCCTCCTGGGACGGGAACTCCCTGCTCACCCGGTGACTCAGCCCCGCCGTGTCCTCGGGAGGTGGCAGCACCGACCGCTGCTGTCTGGGGCTGAGCGAGGGCAGGGACGTGGTGCCAGCAGATGCTCCAAGCTAAAGCTTGACCTGTTTCCATCCCCTTTTGGGCAGAGGGTCTCTGGGCAGCCCCAGGAGGGCAGTTGTGCCGCAGCCGGAGAGGTAAGGAGCGGCCGATAGCAGAGCTCCCTGGTGCTGCTGTGATATTGAGCTCTGCAGCAGCAGCGTTGCAACTGCAGCTGGGGTTTTGCACCCTGGGGGTGTCGTTGCCCTGGTGAAACAGCAGAGCAGGGTTTTGGGGTCACACAGTGCTTCTTGGAAGCCAAAAAACCTCCAGGCTGAGGGATGGAGGGAGGCTCAGGGAGGCGGAAAGGGTGGCCCTGCTCCTCCCTGTCCCCTCTGCTCTCAGACAGGAGGGGTGACACTGGGGCAGAGCAGTGACAGCCCCCACAGCCACATCACTCAGTGGCACCAGCTTAAGTTGTCTCACTGGAAATTCCCATAAACACCACAAAGGGCACGACAGAGTGTGAAACCAGAACGTGGCCACGAGCAGGGGTGTCCTTTTCGGGTGCTGGTTGCCTGTACAGGGTTTGCTGTCCCATCTCCTGAGCTTGGCTGGCTGTGGGTGTTGGGAGGTGTCAGGGGCTGGGAATGTCCCACATCCCCTCTGTCCTCGCTGTTGTAACACATTGGCCTGGCCTGGCCCTGTCTCTGCAGGTTGTGGGCAGCATGGATGCCCACCCCAGCCGGTACTGTGCCACCGTGCGCGTCCAGCGTCCTCGCCAGGAAATCATCGAGGACTTGTCCTACATGGTGAGGGAGCTCCTCATCCAGTTCTACAAATCCACCCGTTTCAAACCCACCAGGATCATCTTCTACCGCGACGGCGTTCCCGAGGGGCAGCTCCCACAGGTGAGGACCCCGTGGAAGCCCATGGGGCAGTGGGGGCTCCGATGGCTCCTGCGGGTGCACGGGGGACGGCTGGGTGCTGCTGTGTCCCCTCACTCTGTGTGCCCTCATCTCTCCAGATCCTTCACTATGAGCTCCTTGCCATCCGAGACGCCTGCATCAAACTGGAAAAGGATTACCAGCCCGGCATCACCTACATCGTCGTCCAGAAAAGGCATCACACCCGTCTCTTCTGCGCAGACAAGAACGAGAGGGTGAGTTCTGCCGGGGCTGGAGGTGGCTGATTCAGCCCCACAGCTTTGCCTCTGCCCAGGGGAGAGCTCCTGAACGGAACGTGCTGCTCGGTTGCCTCCCGCATCCGTGCGGATTAGGCTGCTTCTAGAAACCCAGACAGCTGTTTGCTGTTATTATGAGTTACTGGGTGCTGATGATCCTGGTGACTCTCTTGAAATAGCCTCTGTCAGCTTGAAAACATCTGTTGTTTTGGTGATAGCTGCAGCCGCTGACGTGACGGGATGAATAACCCCTTGCTCACAGCTTGTTTGTGTGTGCCGCGCTCTAACACCGATTGCTGTAGCTTTTCCTAGATTTGATCTAAATTTAGTGGTTAGATCAAGTGTAACCAGCCTCTGGCTCTGCCTGGGCAGGAAGATTTAATCTGAGAGACTGAGGATAGTTTTTGATCAGGGTGCAAAAGCCCCAGTACCTCGTGGCAGAGGCTCTGCAGAGGTTCCTGGAGTTTTGCTCACTGGATCCTCATTTCTACAGTAGGATGGGCCAGTGCCCAGCCCTCACCCTGCCTGCTTTCCTTCCCTTGGCTCTGTCTCCATGTCATGCCTGATGTCAGTGCTCACAGAAGATGTCAGTGAGCCTGTGGGGGCAGGGAGCAGAGCAGGATGAGCTGCTTCTGTTCCCCCATAACGGGCACTGGGGGAGCAGCTCTGCACGGTGCTCTCAAACCGAGCCCCTGGGACGGGCACCCTGTGCCATGGCCCTGGTGCAGGGCAGATGTGTTCCCAACGGGGCTCTGGGCAGCTGGAAATAACCACACTCTGCAGTGCTTGGGTCTCTCTCTGTTCTTTGTAGATCGGGAAGAGCGGGAACATCCCAGCAGGAACAACAGTGGATACAAATATCACCCACCCCTTTGAGTTCGACTTCTACCTGTGCAGTCATGCAGGCATTCAGGTACTGTGCTGCGGGGCTGGCTCTTGTGCTGCTGCCTGTTTTCTGCGGCTGTTGTTGCAGATTGTACCCTCCTGTGTCTGACCTGACCCTGTCACAGCCTCCCCCTGGCACCGGAGCCCTGGGCAGCTCGGTCCAACCTGCCCTTGCGGTGGTTTGGCGAGTGGGTGCCGGGCCGGCGCTGCTGCTGCGGGATGTGGCAGGGACTTGGCTTCTCTCCTGGAGACAAGGATTTCTCCTCGGAGATTTTCTTCCTTCAGAGCGGCCAATTCAGCAGCTTGTGAGCTGGCTGCTGAGCGTGCCGGGCTCGCTGGGGCGCCCGCTCCTCAGCGGGGACCTGTTGTCTGGCCGTGGGCGGGAGAGCCGGGGCCAGCCCTCCCTGGAGCAGGCGCTGTGCTCTGCAGCTGCCTTCCTTCAGGCAGCCAAGATTAGTCAGAGACCGTGCTGAAAAAAATTGCACTCGTTTTATCTCCAGCTGCTTCCGCAAGGGAGGCTTTTTGGCTTCCTCTCCTGCTGTGGGGACGGCAGGGAGCTGACCCGGTTTGGTGGGGGACGGATGCCGTGGGCTGTGTGGTGCTGGGGGCCAAGGGTGGCAGCAATGGCAGTGCCTGGGCACGGGGCAGCTGTGCTGATGCTGGGTTGCACCTCAGTGCTAAGGGCTGTACATGTGTGGGGTTCCCAAATGAGGGGGGCAGAGGCACGGGGTGCCACACGAGCGGTGTTCCACAGGGGTGGGTATTGGGACCAGTACTATTTAACATCTTTGTTGGAGACATGGACAGTGGGATAGAGTGCACCCTCAGCAAGTTTGCTGATGACACCAAGCTTGGTGGTGCAGTTGACACGCTGGAGGGAAGGGATGCCATCCAGAGGGACCTGGACAGGCTGGAGAGGTGGGCCCGTGCAAATTGCATGAGGTTCAACCAAGCCAAGTGCAGGGTCCTGCACCTGGGATGTGGCAACCCCAGGCACAAATACAGGTTGGGTGGAGATTGGCTGGAGAGCAGCCCTGAGGAGAAGGACTTGGGAGTGCTTATGGATGAGAAGCTCAACATGAGCCAGCAATGTGCACTGCCAGCCCAGAGAGCCAACCGTGTCCTGGGCTGCATCAGGAGAAGTGTGGCCAGCAGGTCTCAGAAGGTGATTCTGGCCCTCTGCTCTGCACTCGTGAGACCCCCACCTGTGTCCAGCTTTGGAGTCCTCAACACAGAAAGGACATGGACCAGCTGGAACAGGTGCAGCGGATGGCCATGAAGATGATCAGAGGGATGGAGCACCTCTCCTATGAAGACAGGCTGAGGGAGCTGGGGTTGTTCAGCCTGGAGAAGAGAAGGCTCCGGGGAGACCTTATAGCGGCCTTTCAATACCTGAAGGGTGCCTATAGAAGAGCTGGGGAGGGACTCTTTGCCAGGAAGGGTAATGATAGGACAAGGGGAAACGGTTTTAAATTGGAAGAAAAAAGATTCAGATTAGATCTCAGGAAGAAATTTTTTACTGTGAGGGTGGTGAGACACTGGAACAGGTTGCCCAGGGAAGTTGTGGCTGCCCCATCCCTGGAGGGGTTCAAGGCCAGGCTGGATGTGGCCTTGAGCAACCTGCTCTAGTGGGAGGTGTCCCTGCCCATGGCAGGGGGTTGGAACTAGATGATCTTTGAGGTCCCTTCCAACCCAAACCACTCTATGATTCTATCTCCTGTCTGTGGGGTGGTTTTGATGGGGAGGGGGGATGATGAGGATGTGAGGTGTGTGCCTCTGGGTGCTGACAGCCCTATGGGGTGGTTTTGATGGGGGGAGGGATGATGAGGATGTGAGGTGTGTGCCTCTGGGTGCTGACAGCCCCACTCATGCTGTCCCCTCACCTTCCCAGGGTACGAGCCGGCCGTCCCATTACTACGTGCTGTGGGATGACAACCGGTTCACCGCGGATGAGCTGCAGATCCTCACCTACCAGCTGTGCCATACCTACGTGCGCTGCACCCGCTCCGTCTCCATCCCGGCCCCGGCCTACTACGCCCGGCTGGTGGCCTTCCGAGCCCGGTACCATCTGGTGGACAAGGAGCACGACAGGTGAGGGGGCTCTGCTGGGGACGGGCAGACCCTGGGGGACGGGCAGGGGCACCGACACCCTGCCTCGGTGTTTGAGAGCGCCTGTGTCAGAGCAGGGCCGCGGGGGGCAGACCCACACATAGCTCTTAGGTCCTCTTGGGTCTCAGCCCAGGAGGAACAGGGGGTAAAGGAGGGTTAAATCCCACCCTGGGCTCACCCCGGGCCTGGAGGAGCATCCCTGGGGTGTTTGAGTGTTACCAGCCACCTCGAGGTGCTGGAATCTCTGCGGTGCCAGGGATGATCACCAGCACATGGGGCATCCCCATGCTGTGGTGAGATGTCTCGCTGTGCTGCCCACACTCAGGGTCTCCAAGGGGGGTTTCTCAGTGTTTCTGGGAGGGAAAATACGAAATAATTACGCAGTGATTTCCTTGGTTTCCAGTGGCGAGGGCAGCCATATATCCGGACAGAGCAACGGCAGAGACCCCCAGGCCTTGGCGAAGGCTGTGCAGGTTCATCAGGACACTTTACGTACCATGTACTTTGCTTGAAAGCCTAACTTTTGTTACCTCACTCAAGAAAGCTTTCAGATTTGTAGGAGCCATACAAAAAAGGAAGCGTTGGGACACCTTGTGTTTTTTTTCCAATGAGAAATCACTGCAGGGCAGGCAGCGTCGATTCGAGGCAGGAGACCAGCACCACGGGACAGAGAGATCCAACACCTTTGTAGGATTGGAAGAGACCGATGATTATTTTTTTAATTTTTTTCTGGCTTTGCAAAATTTTGACCTGACCAAACACATGAAGGCATTCAAGGAAAGGGATAAAACTCCCAGGAGGCGGAAGCAGGTTTTCATTTTTAAGATGCAATACTATAGACTCCTGACTGTGAACTGGCGGATTTGGTCCTCCGTTGCCCACCAGGCGCTGGTAGGTATTTTTTGTGGGGGTTGGGGGGAGGGGATTTTTAGAGCCTTAAAACAGAAGACTAGATTTATAAAACTAATATTTTAGAATATGAGATGCTTTAATGGGTTAAGGGGAAAAAAAAAACAAAACAACTAGTTTATAGGAGAATTCTAACACTAACAGGTCCCCCCTGCCCCCGAACGATTCCCCCCCCATATAATGTAAGGCACCCTAGCACTTAGCTCAGAACTGAGAACTGTCTTCCTCGTGTTAAAAGCTAGTTCGCTGCTGCCACTTGAAGCAACAGTCACAGACTTTTCCATGGGTGAGTGCCTTACTACGATGCTGCAAAATTTCAATGTTTTTAATCTTGTAAGGAAAATAGTAATCTCGTCTTGATGGTGGTCCATATTTCCATCGGAAGGAGTTAATTTTCTATGGTCCTAAGTTGCAGTTTGTGTTAGATCCCGACCTCATGGTGGTTAAACTCCATTGAAAGATGTGCACTTTCATACAGGACACGTTTAATGGCTGCTGACCCATTTTTGTTTCCAATGTACTACTTGTTATTTAAAACTGTTTCTGACAAATGGGGGCATCTTCATCCCATGAGGACAGAAATTGCTATCGATTTTTTTTCTTTTTTTTTTTTTTTTCTTTTTCTTTTTTTTTTTTTTCCTGAATTTTTATGATGGACACCGGGATTTTTTTACGAAACATTATTTTTCCTGAATTTTTACGATGGACACCGGGATTTTTTTACGAAACATTATTTTTATACGATACCGAGTCTGTTGCCAAAATACACGAGTCATTAACACGCTCAAGAGTTTACATCACTGCACTTCCCGAGCCCGTGCCCTCACGCCAGAGGTTTCCAACGTTTCCTGCCCCGTGAGTGTTCCCCAGCGCGGCCCGTGCGGCGCCGGGTGCTGCCCCGTGTCCCTCTGCCCCCCGTGTCCCTCTGCCCCCCGTGTCTGCCCGGGGCCGGCCGCTTTCCCAAGTCCCACGTACCCCAACTCCAGCACCTCCGCCCCCCCTCTCTGCTGCTAGGTTTTGCTGCTCTTCGTGTCGTGGTATCACCGATCTCATGCACAGGGCTGGGTTGTTATTTTTTTATTCTGAAAGCACACCGGATTCGTTCCTTAGTCAGAATGATGAAATCCTTGTTCTTGTCGTGGGGGAAACTCCAACTGATTTGTGTTTCTAACAGGAAAAAAAGCCTTTTTTCCCCCCCCAGAAACACAGTGACTGCTTTTCAGACTCGTTTTGCTGCACAGAATGACCGTTGTGCGCAGCGGGGCGGTGGCAGCAACTCGTTACTGGTATCACGCGGGCAGATTATCTGGGGATTTTTTTTTGTTTTGTTGGTTTGTTTTTTAAATGAAAGTGTGCCCAAGCGCTTCCTTCGAGAGAAAAACCCGAGGCACACACTCCTGCCGAGCTCTGAGAGGGGAGAGCTCTGTGATCATTTCTCTGCCGAGCGTGACCGCGCGTCCCCGGCAGGTCCCCGCCAGCGCTGCCCGTGGACAGAAGCACACCTTTTTTTGTTGTTGTTTTGTACTTTCTGACGTTTCAACTTGCCTTGCCTTCATGAGAAACCACCCCCGGTCGTGTCAGCCCGTTTGATCTCTCCTGACAGCGGGCGTTCACTCTACCCCGTTTTCTTTTTTTTGGGCAACGTGTCAGTGAAAAACGAAGACATGACTCTGCTATGCAAACTAAGCGCTGAGCCCACCGCTGGCACGGGTTGTGAAGATCCTACCTTTAGCACAGTCCTGTTTTGTCCTCCAGACTTTAATGAGCGTTTGGTTCATAATTCTCCTTTGCACCTTGTGTCGACCTCCACCGCTGTATCCCCGCAGGGGG